CCGAAGCCTGAAAGAAGGACACTCCACGAAATAGAAAACAAAAAAAGGAAGCCGACGGACCGTGCACACTTGCCCGCCTCGAGCAACAAAAAATGAAATCCCCACAAAAATACTAAGTACATATCAGACCGATACAAAGGCTACGCTACGAATAGGTGTCACGACCGAGGCGTGCATCTACAAAATCCCAACTGACTTGGTTGGGTGAAACAAGGTTGGTCGTCCTCTACGGCCACGAGAGGTTGGAATTCAACACTTGGCACATTTCCCAAAATGTGGGAAAATGAAAAGAAATGTTACTTTCATCGGCCACCCAACAATACAGGGCCGTTGGCAACCCCAAGCGGAATCGGCTACCAAATCTCGACACTTAGAAAAAAAAATCAAGTGTGAAACGATAAAGGGAAAACATGCAGGCCGACAACACCGCCAAACACATTATCTTCCCCGATTGGTTTCAGCCGACAAGGCCCTCGGGAAGGATGACACAACTCTGCGGCGTCCACATCGGCCGAGAAAACACCAAGATGTGCAACCCAGGCCGATAAGGTCACTGAACTAAAGAAACTACAACAGTTGAACACACTGGTGGCAACCCTTACCGGCCATAACATTCTCACTGACCGTTAAAGGCACTAAAACTTAGGCGGGTGTTCAAGTTGAACACTTAGAAAAAATTTAAAGGAAAAAGGAAAAAGACATCCCCAAGACGAAGCGAACGACAGAGGAAAGTCGCCTGAGTGGATTTCAAACACTTAGACAATTTTTTGAAGAAAGCAAATGTCAAAGGCTTGGCCGACAACGGTAGCAAGCAGAGAAAACTACAGAGCCGCAACACTTAGACAAATCTCCAAACCATCGAATAACTAGAGGACAGCCTCAAGACGAATCGGGCACTCAAGCATTTGCAGGTGCCCTTATTGGCCCTGGTGGCCGTATCGGCCAAGCTTCGAAGAGCCCCAAATTATGGCTACCTGACACTTAGAAAATTTTCTAAATATTTCCCAAGTATTTTGACACCTAGACGAAGCGAGCACTCACACTTAAGATGCCCGCTTCGGCCACACCCAGAAGGCAATCGAGGACGACGATGACCCAACCCCCAACACACTTGGACATCATGTAAACAAAAAAAAAACAAGACGATATAGTAAAGCATGAAGGCCGAAAAGAGGCGTATTTTCATTCACAACAAAACAAGACGATATAGTAAAGCTTGAAGGCCCAACACAGGCTACGGCTACCCAGGCAGCACCCGTATCGGCCATTCAAGCGGCCATACATATTATATAAAGGAAGGCCTTACAACGGTCACAGCACCACAAGGGAAGGGAACCCAACGGCCATCGGCCCTCACACAAAACCCTTGATGATAACCCTTTGAAAGTGACCTGCGTCCAAGGGTTCTCCCACTGGGTTACCTTGGTCACGAAATCACCAAAGGGAGGGATTCAAGACCAGTATGAGGATCCCGCTCCGGCCTGGGTCTCGCACTACTCCTTCACCCCTCACTCACTCTTCGGCCTGAAGCAGTGGGGGACTGGGGGACTACACGACCCTTTGCAAATCAGGACAAAATCAAAGAAATCCAAAAATATACTAAGTCCACAACAACATCAAACATGCACCACAACGTCCATAACATTGTGGTGCACCATCGGCTGCAGCGAAGCTTGAAATCACAGGGCACTTATCGGTTTGGAGACCAGGACACGCACCACTCCCACCGGACCAGTGCCGTTATCGTCCTCAAAAGCGTGAACGCCAGACCACAGACATCACCGCTTCGGCCAAAGAACACAGAACGCAGTCAACAACTAAAGGAAGCAAATTGCGCCCTCAACGGCCACTCAAAACAAAGGACGCTCATCGTCCTCCAACAAAGAGGTAGCCCCAATGGCCTCCTCGGCCAACAGTACGAAATTTAACCAACGGCCAGGAGGAGTGAACAACACCCTTAACGGACACTCAAGATAAAGGACGCTCATCGTCTTCAAGCAAGACACAACCGCAGTGGCCTCCTCGGCCCAAAAAACAAAATTCAGCCACCAAAGGTCGTGAGAAGGAAAGAATGTCTTCATCGGCCACTCATGACAGGAACGCTCATCGTCCACAAACAAGCGCACTAAAGGAAGAGCGACCTTCCCCGTCCACATCAAGGGGAAGCTAACGGCCAAATCCAGAACAGGGAACCGGGTCAAAAGGTGCCCGTAACGGCTAAGAACAAGAAAGGGTCCCACAACGGCCAGAAAACGTCAGAAGCAAGAAATCTACTCTCCCTCGCCTCGTCTACGTCTCAGTTCAGAGAGTGAGGGGCTCCTGATGGAGTATATGGGCCTGGACCCCATGGCCCACATACTCGGAAGAACAGAAGGTACCACGATCACCTGGTGGGACCCTCGTCGGCCAGATGACCTCCACCGCCAGAAAGCAGTCTAACTCAGAATACGGTCCAGAAGCCAGGAGAACCGGGTGACCTCGTCGGCCGGGTCCTCGTCGTCCGGTGCCACGAGCGGCCCCAGAATAGGATTTTATACTTAATCATTTCTACACACATTGTATTCGGCCCAATAGCGGTCCAGTTAAAAATGGGCCTCCCAAGCCCAAGGCTTGGGAGCCTAGCCCGTATTTTTCCTATAAATACTTCCTCTGGAGGTAGTTGTAGGAGTTCACAAAATCATTCTATTGAAGTATTTACTTGCACTTCTCTCTCTAGCTCTCACTTATCTCTAGATATATACTCTATCAGATGTCTTTCCCAGCGCCTGTACTACCACCCTGCACCACCACCTCCGATTAGTGTAAAAAATGCCATGTTTTTATAAAATTCCAAAAAATTGGCATATTAATCTTTGAGAATGCCAAAATTTCCATTGAATTTGCCATAAATATGACATTTCCTAATGCATGTGCATTTTTTTAATTTTTTAATTTTTTTAAATTAGATGACTTTCTTTGTACTGCCTCCCTATACCACCACCTCTGATCGGTGTAAAAATGCCATTTTTTCTAAAAACTGCTATTTTTCTGAAAATGCCAAAGAAATGACATATAACTCTCTTGTGAATGCCAAAATTTTCATTCATTCTGCCATAAAAATGGAATTCTTAATGGATGTGTCATTTTTTTCCCTGGTGGCTAGAGGTGGTGGTGCTAGGGCGGTAGAGGCGGCGGGTATTTTTTTGCGTTTTTTATTTTTTAAAAAAAATAATTTTTTTTATTTTATTTTTTTTGAGTTATTACGAAGTATTATTTAAATATTTTTATTAATTTTTTAGTATTTTTTACGAATTTTATGATTTTTATTATTTTATTATGGATTAAAACATTTTAATAACAATGAGGGTATATTTGTCCAACACACACATAATTAATCCTATCAAAACATAGTTTTCTTTTTGCTCCTATTTGTGCAAAGTGACCATCTTTTAGTCATATTTTGACAATTAACTCTATGAATTACGGAGTACTTTGTACTACGATATATTAAATGTACTAGTCTTTTCATTCATTAAGGGTAGTTAGTCAGTCCAGGTCTTTTTAATCTTATTAAACATTGAACTCTTAATCTTGCATTTTTTATATATTTTACTCTTAGTTTGGAAATTTTATCTTGTATGAAGTACGGGAGGAAGTATTACTAATTTACTACTCCCTTCGTCCCCCTGTTATTGTCTCATTTCTTATTCACTTGATCAACACAAATCACTCATCTCTTACTTTATTTATCAATTTTTTATCAAATTTGATTCTGGTTTTTGTGACTTTGTAAAACTTTTAATTTGGTTTCTGAATATGCGATTTTTTTTCCTAAAAATAATTCTAGAGCGGATAGAGATCTGTTTACTTTATCATTAGTCAAGCATTAGGTGTAAACCGCAATGAGACAATCAGGGGCGGAACCAGGGGGCGAGCCGGTGCCGGCGCCACCCCTTCGCCGGAAAAATTTTAGTACTAGTATAGGCCATTCGATTAGCGCCCCGGTCGCCCATTCATCTTCTTCCTTGGAGAGTTGCGGCTGCGGAGTGCGGACCTGCGAGATGCGAGCTACAGAGATAGAGGTGCACAACCTTCTTTTTTAATTAATTGAAACGCCAAACGGCGTCGTTTCTTTAAGTGCACAGGAAAAGATATATGACATCGTTTTGGTCAAAAATTTGATTTACATGTTTCACGTTTGGGTTTTGCAGCTTTGCTCGTTGGCTCGTTGTTACACGTCGTTCTCTGTGGCCTCTGCATCTCTAGGTCTTATTCCGCCCCCCTGCTCGCTGGTCGCATCTGCTACTCCAGCTGGACGTCTCTCCGGCTCTCCCGACGCCAGTCACGGCCTTCCGGAGCCGGTTTAACTTTGCTCCAGCACTCCAGGCTTCAGCAGGTTCAAAACGTTTTTTAACTTTGCACGCTTATCGGTTTATTAATTAATTACTTGATTACTTCACATCTTCAAAGTTTTTAAAGTTTAATTGATTAATTGTTTGATTTGGTTATTGGTATAAAGTTGAAATTGATTGTGCAATTTTTTTGATTAATTAGTTTCACTGCTTAATTTGCTTGGTGATATACATGGAGAAAGAAATTTTTGCCAAAATTGAAAATGAAGCAATTTTGCAACGTTTTCAACATATGCAGACATGCCGCACATAGGTGTCTCAATTGCCTTCTTCTTCTAACATTTAATTGTAATGTAATGTACTCTTCTCGCAAATTTTATATTTTGTAAACTTTAATAACAATTTATATTTTTGCATTTTATAAAACTTTTAGCCACCTGGTTCCGCCACCCGAGACAATAACATGGAAGGAGAAGGTAGTAATTTAGAGAGAGGTTGTTTCGAAGAGAGCAATAGTACTCTCATCATGAGAGTCTCATGTGCAGGAACACCTTTCAACCAATAATAAGATTGATAATAGCTCATAAATAAATAAACAAATTGCAATTCATATTGGATCATCTCTATTTATCGAATAAAATGATCGAAACACATTATTCAAATGCGTATTTATTGCGTATATATACAGTTGGCTGGTCTGCTAATTAAATTTATTCGCTTACAATTTAATTTATACGTATACAGAATTAGCTTTAATTATATTCTTCAGATATTAAATAGCTAGGCTCGCCAAAGCTTCCACCGTATGTATCCATGGATCTAATCATGGCGGCGGCGGCGGCTGGGTATAAGATACATGCTCATGCCAAGTATCGCCAAACCCACAGCCACATTCAATATTTCCCGTTGGTGAGTACTTATCAGGTTTTTTGCCACTTCATAATAAGTTGCTGCGGCTACTTCTGTCCTCATGGTTGCCGCCGCCGCTGCTGGAATTCCGGTATGGCGGCTTTCTTCTTCTTCACCGATGCTTTTTCTTTTCGTCGCTCCATCTTCAAGGCCGCCGCTACCGCCGGCACCGCTCTCCGTCTCAACTCCTCTTTTAGCAGTGTCATCATTTTGGTCACTTGTATGGGGGCTCTGGAGAATCAATGGATTTGTCATCCACACATAATTAAGTGTTTCATCCATTTATTTAATTATATAAGATACATGCTCATGCCAAGTATCGCCAAACCCACAGCCACATTCAATATTTCCCGTTGGTGAGTACTTATCAGGTTTTTTGCCACTTCATAATAAGTTGCTGCGGCTACTTCTGTCCTCATGGTTGCCGCCGCCGCTGCTGGAATTCCGGTATGGCGGCTTTCTTCTTCTTCACCGATGCTTTTTCTTTTCGTCGCTCCATCTTCAAGGCCGCCGCTACCGCCGGCACCGCTCTCCGTCTCAACTCCTCTTTTAGCAGTGTCATCATTTTGGTCACTTGTATGGGGGCTCTGGAGAATCAATGGATTTGTCATCCACACATAATTAAGTGTTTCATCCATTTATTTAATTATATTTTAGTTGTTTAATTGTAATATATTTTGATTGATCCATATAGAAATAGAAATTCAATTAATACAACTTTCATCCCAAATTGATTTATGAAGTCAATTTTTTTGGTCAATTTTTAGTTATATTCAAATCTCGGTTTTGCAACTTTATGTAGACTTTAATGTAATTTCTAAATATTTAAATTTTAATTATTAAAATTGAAATAATTATGAATTGAGAGCATTTAACTTTAACATTGGTTGATAAAAATATTGACTTTAATTTGCAAATCAATTTGGAATGGAAAAGGGATTTTGCCAAATCAACATTTTTTAGTCAATGATGATACTCAAGTTTGACCGATGATGTTTTTTAATCCGAAATTATTTTAAATAGGAAAACCATAATGTTAAAATACTCTTTATTACATTACTTTTATAAAAGTATAAAAATTATAAATTACATACAAATATAATAATTAGAATTATTGTTTAAATTTATGCCATCTTTGATCAAGAAAAAATCGATATGACAAACCTTTTTGCGACGTAGATAGTATCTAATTTTATACTTCCTCTGTCCCTTAGGGTGTGTTTGGGAGTTAGGTTTTGAATGAGAGGGGAAGGTTGATGGGGGTTTATAACCCTCCTTTTCATGTTTGGGAGTTTATAAAATTGAAGGGGGTGGTTTTGGAGGACTTTCATGACCCTCCAAAATCCTCTAAATGCTCAATTTTTAAGTTCCCCAAATTCGGAGGGTACGTTTTGAAAGATAATTAATGAAATGGTAATTTAAGCTCTATTAAAAATAAATATCAGTTCAATTATTTAAATTCGTCATATCTTAAAGTAATCTTAACTATAATTGATTCAAAAACTCTCTTCTTCCAAATTTATTACTCCCAAATACAAAGAAGGGCTTCCTCATCACTCTCTCCTCCCTTTCCCCTCCAACAACTTACCTCCAAAGCCTTCCCCTCCTCTTTCCTCCGAACTCCCAAACATACCCTTAAAGATTTGCCAAGTTTAACCGACATGTACAATACTATATAATAAAGTAAAAACTGTGTGGTAGATATATTTGTGTAGAAGAGAGAGAAACAACATGAGTCATAAATTGATTGATTAAAATGGAAAGTGACAAAGTTTTTGGTACAACCAAAAAACGAAAGTTGAAAAAAGTATAATGGAGGGAAGGAGTACGTCGTAGTACACTAAAAATCTTTCCACTTTCCGTTTTCGTCTGTAATTATGTCAAAATATGATAGTATTATTCCAAGAAAATAGTAATTTACTTCACTTTAGGTAGGAAAAATATAGCATTCGTATTTTGAAATTTCAGGTAAAATTCCCGAACAAATTGAAGGTCTAACAAAGTGACCGTCAACTAATAGTTACCTGTGCGGTTTTCGGCGCCTCGCGATTATTGACGTCGGGTCGCGGTGGATCTTGTACGATGGCAGCAGCCGGCGGTGGTATTTTAGGTTGCAGAAAGACACGGAGAACGCCTTCTACAAAATGTGCTGTAATTTTGTTGTGGTCATAATTTTGAAGACTGCTTACAATTCTTTTAAAGGGTTCCGTTACCCCTTGCGGCGTCCATTCGATCCTGATCGATTCATTACTGACCGACGTTAACTTTATCTGTTCCTTCTTAGTTCCTGCATGCCATACACATTCAAACTTCAACTTTACAATTTTTTATTTGTATCCGACGCTTATGCCTCCTCTTATACCCTAATACCCACTCCCGAGTGACTATCTTTTTGTTTGTGAATCCTGTTCACATAAAACAGACATGTTTTGTTTGTGAATGTGTTCTGTTTTGCCTATGAACGTGATTCACAAACAAAAAATAATTTCTCACAAAGGGTGAGTATAAGAGGTGTAAGGTGTTTACTATATCTAATTAACGTACTCCCATATAACTTAATCAATTTGACTTTAATCAAACAATGATAACAAAACATTGTGTAAACTTTACGGAATATATTCTTTGGGATAGTACGTTAACAAAGAACGTTTTCATATCATAAAAAGTTTAGTATTAAAATGTATCATCGGCTAAACTTGCCTATCATTATTCAAGAAAAGTCAATTTGATTAAATTTTATAAGAGATAGATTTTTGAGATGGACCTAATCATGTTCGATCCTTTGAAATAACAATACAAACTTGTTTCTTATTTTGGCGCAAAGGGGGTTAAAAAATAAAAATGATAGATAGTACCTGGTGGTAGAGGAAACTCAATAATGTGCTGCCCATCTTTCTCGTCTCTATGCGTTGCTTTACATTTTTCAAATTGTGTCTTTAACTCTTCAAACTGTTTCTTCAAGTCTAACAGTTTCTGCTCATTTGAACCCATACCTTAATTTGATCTTTTGTTTAGTTTCTTGGTTTGTGTAGCTAGATCAGAGCTTTCCTTTGAATAGAACTAGAACTTGTTTTGGGAAGGAAATTAATAAATGTTACCTGCGACTTTAGGTTCTTATACACAAGCAAAAGAATCAAATAGGCACACTCGTACACACATTCTCCAATTGAAAAAATGAATATTGATAAACTTTTCTTGGGAAATAGACATTCCTTAAATTTATTTTGTGCTCGCCTTTATTCTTAGATGAAGATCATGTAATTTCGTGTTGACTATATTCAGAGTATTTTGACACAACTAGCTGAAAACATAGTAACTGTTAGTTTCGAGTGACTAAAAGATCTTAAAATACAAAGGTGATATGGTAGTTGTTTATTAAAAAGCTGACTGTTCCATTTAGTTCTGTTTGGCATATAAACTGTTTGGACTAATTAATGATAAAAGTTTCAACCTTTTCTCACATGCTACTCATTGTAGCATCTCAAAATATATCTTTTAATTTTTTAAAAGCTCCTAAAAATTGTCATTCCGACTTCAGTTAGAAACTTTTAGAAACTTTTAAAATTGTACAAAAACTAGAAAGTAGAGACTTATGTCTACCAAACATGGTTACCCCCAAGTTTTGATAATAATTTGACCAAACGTCAGATGATGAAATCAAAATAGGAGTAAATGGAGTTTGAAATTCCAAAATAGGACTACTACGTTTTTATTCCCGAAATAGGACTAACATGACAGTATTTACTGTCATCTTGTAGGCGTGACTATCAAATAGTTGCAGTACAGTGTATTTAACATGACATTATTTATTATAATTAATGGCAGTATTTTTTAATTATGACAGTTTTTTTCATAGATGTCAGTAAAAACTCCTATTCCGGGAAGAAAAACATAGTAGTCCTATTTTGTAATTCCAAATCTCATTTACTCCTTTTTAGGGTAATTTCCCTCAAAATAAAGCATAGCTCGCTTCCTCCTTTAATTTTCTAACTCACTTATTGACTTATGGTGCACGCATATATGTGGAGCAGCAAAGAACCGTAAATTTAAATGATTGAAGCAATCAGAAGCTATGGCCTGGGGTTTCTTCTTCTAAGGAACTTCTTATATATTCGATCTTATGTTTTTTGAACATTAATAATCCTACTCTAGTCTTAACGGGTCAATTAAGACCTCCTTGCACTTTGCTTCATACATGTTTTTTGAGAAAGACATACATGTTAGAGTTAAAGCAAAAAAATAGAACTCGTGAACAAAAATATTACTAAAATTTCTGTGTATATATTGTATGATCACTACGGGGTAACAATTTGAAATAATCAGTGACTAAAATTGATTAGGTTACACTTGTCCTTTATCAACATTTTGATCATATAATACTTTCGTTCTCTTTTAAATGCAACATTGGATTTTTTGCACTGTTGGTCCAAAATAGGACGTTCGTAGGCTTTTAGGAAAGCTACGTAAGAACACTCAAACAGGAATTAGGAAAGTACGAATATGGAAAGTTGCAAAGGGATTTAGTTGCCAGAAATAGCATATAGAAGTTGTCTCCCCTAATCTGAATTACAACCCGCCTTTTATAGGCGTATACAAATCGTAACCGTTACCGATAATAATAATGACTAATTAATTACAACATTAATACGGAATTAAATACATAATTAATAGCACATTAATTGCTTGACCGTTACTTTTTCGGGCTAGAAGGTCGGCCGGACTGGCAGGCTCCCCGCCGGGCTGGCAGGCAGGCTTCAGGTTATGGACTTGGATCCATGGATCCAAGTTCAGGGCTTGGGCTGATTAGGCTCTGGGCCTAGTCCCATTACTCCATCATGCACTATTCAAATGTTCTACTTTGACTTTATTTTATTTATTAATGCATTATAAATTAAATTTTAAAACTATATTATTAAATTCATCTCATTTTAAATTTTCAAAATCTTATTTTTTTAATTTTTTACTTATAAAGAATGAAAGATATTAATGATCAAACTTATGCGTTGGCAAACGTGAAAAGTGTACTGTCACAATTAAAAAAGAACAGAGGAAGTATTAGGTAATACCTCCATTCGTTGAAAGATTCTCATTGCAAAATGACACGGTTATTTAGAAAATAATTAAATAGGAAAAAATGAAAATAATAATCTCAACTATTGTCGGTCTGCTAATAATAATCTCAACTATTGATTATTTTTTATAATCCCAACTATATGAACCATCCGTCAATAGTGGTCCATGACCGGTTACTACCAGCTATAACAGGTAAATTTTAAATAGAAATTAAGCTTATCCTATAAATAATCTGAACTATGCTCGCTCTTCTTTTAATAATCCCAACTATCAACTCAATTTTTTTACAAAAATTAGAAATAATTATTTAAATTTCTGATTTTAAATTTTACGAATGAAAGTTTAACTAAATATTAAAATGTGTTGCATTTTAGAAATAAAAAAATCACATTTCATTTTTTATTATTATTCTCAGAATTTTTTTTTATAAATAGTCATTTTTTGAATTGTTTTACAATTCACGGTTTTTATTAATTTTTAACTACTTTAAAACGATTTAATATTTTCGGATGATTAGCTTTTAATGTTTTTATATTTTGAAAATAAGTATTAGTATTTTTATCTTTTTCACTTTCTTAATTTTGAAAATCAAAGTTTTCCTATTTTAATTTGAATTTGTAATTAATTTCAATGTCAATTATCCTTTAAAGTTTTTATATTGACCTTTTTACTATCGTCTAAAATATCTTACATGTTATGTAATTTTAATTTTGAAATTTATATAAGTTTTTTCATATTCTATAATTATATATTTTATATTCTTTAATTCTACAAGCTATCTAAAAAATTTAATTAAGTAAAATTAAATTTTTATAGTCTCTTTTACCCTTTCTATTTATTTATGGAAATTTTAATTTAATATTTTTGGGTCCATCAGAAGTTGACGGATGATTGTTCAAATTATTGTAATCCAGTAATTCTTTTTTAATTGATTGAATTGAACATGTAGCCGGTCACGTCGGACCATTATTGGCGGAAGGTCTAAAGTTGGGATTATTCTGAAATAATCGATAGTTGGGATTATTATAAGCGGGTCGTGAATAGTTGGGATTATTACTATCAATTTTTCCAATTAAATATGATAATTCGAGTATATTTTGAGAAATAAATTTGATATGTGTATAATATAATGAGGTTATTGGTGATAATTGTGATGTTATAGATGTATTATTTTTAATATTTGATGGGTGAATTGTCACTTAAAAGTGTTAATTGCTTCCTAAATTAAAAATGAGAAATTCTATATGAACCTCGAAAAAGGAAAGTGGAAGATTTATATGCGAGGAGAGACTACTTTACTAGACAGTTGGACGTTTGTATTTTCAACTTCCTTTACAAACTCCCTGATTCAGAACTTTGTTTTCAAAAATTAGGCGTCAAATTGTTACGTCAGTTAAAAATATATAAATAATACTACCTCCGTTCCGAATAAGTTCGTCATATTGACTTTTCTTGGTCAATGATGGTAAATTTTAGGTGATGATTTTAATTACTATATTTGTATGTAATTTATAAATTTAATACTTTTATGAAAATATTTTGAATGAGGATTATTTTGATATAATTTTTATATTTTAAATAATTTCGTATTAAGAAATATCATTAGTCAAAGTTGATTGTCATTGACCAAGAAAAGTCAATTTGGTGAACCTTTCCGGGACGGAGGGAGTATTTGTTTTTATAGATCTTTTGATGATCTCTCGACACAAAAATTGCCACTCTGCTTGGTGCCTAAACAATGTCAATAAATCCCGCTAATTTTTTTCTTCCTTGGGCATTACCTTTGTTGAAGTTTAGTTCTGCAGATCTGAAAGCCCAACACACGGTTTGGATATTTCAGGATGTGGATTGTGATTTGTGTGTATAAGAAAATATAAAAGCTGAATCAATAATAATCTCAAGAGCCCACTTTGTTTTATGCAATTCGCTGATTACACAGGAATTAAGCTATTTATACTAATGGGGGGTATGGGGTGCTCCTTGCTAATTGGTTGCTAATCCATCCACTTGAATGCCCATCCTCCCACTTGCTGATGTCACACTCTAGCATTTAATGCACTTCGCCATTTGCCAATGGTCCGTTGCCCGATCGGACTAGTGGGTCATGCTTAAACGTCGTTGATTTGGCCCAAGTATCTTGGTTAGCCCGAACCCCGTTCGGTACGTATTTCTCCCTGGGCCCGCTCTTCGTCTGAATTCCGGGCTAACTGTTTTTGTACTGGATTATTTGGGCCCTTGAACCGCGTATTGGGCCTTTGGTCAAATATCCCAACACGAGTCACTCACTTCCGATGTCTCGAATGATAGTGAGTGCATTGGGAAGTAGAACTTATGTTCCGAACGACGATCGGAATTCAGAATTTGTCGGTTCCCTATGTCATGATTAGTACCTTAATTGCGGTTGTCGTTTGATTTTTTCCATATTTGTCATGATTACTGGCTTTTGCTTTCCTATGTGACACGTGTCCTTTCAAATAGTTGAGGTGACGTGTCTTCTTCTGGTTGGTTATTGATTCGGCGCCTGTCGGGCTATAAATAGGCCTTGAATTTCTTGGATATGGGTTTCGAATTTTCATTTCCTTCGTGCCTTTGTTCTACCTTCTCTCTAGGTCCTTCAAGCTTTTTCGTGTTCAGGTATTCCCCGTCCCTTAATTTTCCTCCACTCTTTTGCTTCAATTGATATGTTTCCTCGATCATGCTCCCACTAGTACAAACTATAGGTATTGTGGCACATGAAAAATGTCACAAAAGACTACATAAATGTCACAAAAAATCAAATGTAGCATTTTCAACTATGCCGCATCCGAGTGGTGTTGCAATAGATCTTTTGTAGCATTTTTTTGTAACATTTTCTTATGCTGCAACTACTATTGCCTATTGTAGCATTTCTCTAGCTATATTCTATTGTAACATTTTATTTTATCTTCTTCACACTAATATCTTTTGTAGCACTTTTAATTACCTTATTGTTGCATTTATATATCTTATTCAGCATTCTTTTAGTTATAGGTAATATGTTTTGCCTATTTTCCAAACAAAATTATATATTGTTTCGAACATAGTAATTACACATGTGCTATTATACTTCACAAACCAAATATCATTACAATATCAATAGAATCTTACAATAATAGGAAGAAAAAATATTCAAAGGTGGGAAAAGTAAAGAACGAATCTTGACCAAACAAGATATTAGACAAATCAAGGTATTACAAAAACCACTTTGTCCAGTTAAAGTCTAATACCAAGTGGTTCAGCAAAATAACATCACTATATGTGTATATATATATATATATATATATATATATATATATATATATATATATATATATATATATCCATCCTTGCACATGTATGTCAACTTCTTCTAGAATCATCACCATATATATATATCCATCCTTGCACATGTATGTCAACTTCTTCTGGAATCAGTTTGATGTATCCTGCATCATATTAAATCAAGAAGATGGATAAATTAATATTAAATGCAATTGTTCTGCTTTAAAGAAACAAGAGACATAAATGAACACTATATACCTTGAGATTGGCAGATGCTAATATTGTTTGAGGAACCAAGCTTAATCCTGGAATAGTACTTTGCAACTGTTTTAACACAAATGTTAGTACATTTTCTGACATACGTGCTTTTTCAACCTCAAACTCTTCAGCCATTTTTGCTCTTTCAATTGCAAGTTTTTCATCCATTTCCTTTTGCATTTCTTCCCTCAAAGATTGTAATGCATTATTTGGGATGTTGTGTGATTTTTCACCTTTCTTTTCCACAATATCTTTATTGGTGACACCTCTTCCATATAGCCGAACACGTCCACTGTATTCCTTAGGCATTACTTTTGCAAATGCATCTTCAGAATTGGCCTCATCATTTCCTTGTGTAGATTCAATATCTTTCATTGCTTGCTATTTTGAATGCATAATAAAAAACAAGTTTAATCACTCACATTTATCAACTGTTAAAATATAATTAACAAAAACATTTTCAAGGAATATTTTCTAATAAACTTACAAGTTTTACACTCGTTTCATCAAATGAAGTCTTGTAGGTTCGACCATCTTTTCTCTTACGTGTCTCTTCATACATTTGAACTTCTGTGGGTATCTTGTTGTTTTCACTTTGAGTTGTCTGAATACCTTATGTTACTTCATTTGAAAAATGGTAATGAAGATGGATAATCAAATTATATAAAAAAACCTTACCAACTGGTGTTTCAATCTCGCAAATGAAACACGTCCAGTAGTTGGCATGTCTGTTTGTTTTGATCGACTACACTTATTTCGAAGGCACCGGTTCTTCACAAACATGTCAGCATAACGATAACAGGGTTTTAGTAATTAAATTAAATAAAAATAATTAAATGAAAATCACTTAAAGATACCTTTGATTGAGGAGTGTTCCAAAAACGAATAAGATCTCTAAACTGCTCTTCAGTGATACCGTCTTTTGGGCGTTGAATTCATCTCTCTGAGTTAGATTCATATTTGTCAAAATGTTCTTCCTTCACACGACTTTTGTATGTCCTCCAGTTATCATTTATTGATCTTATAACCCATTTTTTTCCTACTGGTGGAATAATGTACTTTGACTGCAATAAAGGTTATATGATTAATACATATAATACAGTCATTACATTTAGTCAACTGAAGGATAATGCTATCTTACGTTAACATATTGCCACATTCTCTCTTTGTTTGGCACTTTTGGCCAACTGACATAGTTCAGAGGTGCTAGTGATGCACTACGAGCTATGGTTCCAAGAAATTGAGAAAACTCAGAGCATGTAGCCTCATCCGGTCCAATTGGTTGGTTATACTCATTGAGAGTAATGACTTTGCGCTCATCTGGTTTTCGTATATGGACCTTGTGTAACATTGTCTTCCCCCTATGCTTCTTTTTTAGGCCTTTAAAATAACAAAAAAAAACATAAGAAATCGTGACTGCTTAAGTCAATTTGTATAGGTTGACTTACTTGTATCTTTTGTAGTACTCTCTTCATCTCCACTTTGAATTGGATCAACTTCATTTTCATTTTCTATCATTGCCCAGTTTGTACTAGAGTGGACTTCTTTTGTAGCCTTTAAAAAAAGAATAACAATTTGAAAGATATATATTTCATGCAATATTAATTTACACTACTGTAATTTACCACATTCACATGTCTCTTGCGGCTGAGTTGCACATCTTCTTCAAAATCGTCAATAACCATATTTGTTTTTTCCACAAAAGTAGACATAGGCTGGCTTGGCATCAGAGGTTCCATCCTCTATATGGATTTTAAAAATCATAGTATATACACATCATATACAAAACAAAGTTAAGTAAGTTGAGAATTCTTGAAACACAGTACTATATGCACATCTTTACTCATGCCAAAACTATCTATTATCAAAAGTATAGACATATATTATTTTACCTTCTTTTTTTAGAACAATCATTTATTCTTTCTCGATCTGCAAAATAACATCAAACTTGATTTTTAGAAATGAAAGTCTTCTAATAACACACTTGTTAAAATTCTATCAAAAAATAGTATAATAAAGTAACCAACCTGGCCTCCCACTTTTATTGATTGGGTCCTTCTTCCTGACAACATCCATCTTTGATACATCCTGATTTTATATATTGCAAATAAACTTAACCTTGACCTGTTGTCATCAGAAAAAGTATACTGCTCCAAGAATATAGCATGCTCATATTATTACCATATCAATCTCAACCACATCATCCTCTTGCACAGTAACCTTAGAAGGTTGAAGAATTTTGATTAGCAATATGTATAAAAAAGAGGCAATTGCCCCAAAGAACATTGTGATTACTGTTATAGACTACAAGAAGAAAAAGTATGCATATGCCCACGGGTTTTTACCTTTTTTTAGTGGAGTGATCCCTGCACTTTCTTTTTGGAACTGTATATCATCAATATGAACTTTAAGTACTCATACATTACTAAAATATGACAAAATTAGCAGAAAAGTGTATAAAGTGACTAACCTTCCCTCTCATTGTGATTCATTGTGCCACTTCTCAAAGAGGAATCATTCCTTTTCATTTCCTAGTTTAAAATTATGCATATAATATTGAATTAAATATCACAGAATGTCTAAAAAATACACAACAACTACAATTTTCCATGTGTGCTAATACCTTGTAAGGATTAGGCACAAAATCTTGATTATAAGAGAAGTAGTCTTCATCCACATCTTCCAGATGTGCAATTTTTTCCTTACCAAGTGTTGATGCATCATTTCTTTATTTTAACATATTGAAAGGTATCAATACATTATCAACTCCCTTTCCCTTCATTATGCGTAGATTACTTTCAATCCTGGACAACCTTTGTTTCTCATACTCTGTAAGGAGAGCATTTGATTTAGGACCTTGTTTCTCTTTCATCTGTAAATCACATAATTTAAGATGAAACAGTTAGCAAATATAAGCCACATTATTTCACATATATACTATACAAATATAGTAGAACTATATACTACTATTATATTTAAGACTAGAAAACTTATATACATATAGCATAATAGTCACTTACTAGTCCTGTCACTACTAATATTGTTATTCACAACATCTTCTTTGCCCACAGATTTTGCAACTAAAACATCAATGTTCACTCCCACCGTGCTTTTAGGCAGATCAGTTCTTATAGAACTAAAACTTCCTTCATCATTTACTATGTGGTCAACACTAAAACCAATATCATCATACTCGTTCCAATAACCCTCATTAGCATCTTCTTCGTCCATTTCAAAAAGATCTCGTGGAACTCTTTTCATCACATAGTGACGTCCATCTTCAATAGGATCTTTGACATAGAAAACTTGATGAACTTGTGATGGGAACACAAATGGATCATTAACATAACATAATTTCTTAAAATTAACACGGATCAATCCAAAATCATCTTTCTCCTCCTCAAACCAGTCACACTTAAAGAGAACAACATTACCTTGGTTATGATAACTTAACTCAATAATATCTCTAAGTGCTCCATAATAGGTGACATCTCCTAATACTGGATTTTGATCCTTAGAACTTGCAAAACTAGGAGTAGAAGCTGTAACGGTAACTCCACTATTTTGGGTCTTGTATTTCCCATCTCTTGCTCGTGTAGAAAACTTGTAACCATTAACAAAATATCCATAGTACCTTTTGCATACAGAACTTGGTCCATTTGCTAGCCAAAAAATATGATCTGAAACCAGTTTTGATTGAACTTTGGTTTTGAACCAAAATGCAAATCCATGGGTATGGTCATTTTCTTTTGCCCATCTACTCCTTTTATTTTGCCTGCTTATGAGGTCTTGATGTTCCCTGCATCAGTAAATAAATTATTTACATGTGTGTGTATGCATATGTGTGTGCACGGTAAGAAATTAATAAACAAAGGTTAACTTACTTTATGAAATTGTCAACTTCCTCATTATTTGCATTAAAGAGAGCATATCGATGCGCTATCTGAAGGGTCTTAGGGCTTAGAGTAAATGATTTTTCTTTTTCCTTGGACTTCCCTCCAATAGGGTAACCATGATTTGAAAAGATATTACAAGAATTATTTGAGCTGCCATCACTGTACCCTTCCTGACCTCTACTTAGTCTTGTTTTCACCCCATCGTGCATATACCTTGAGCAGTGAATCAAACATTCTTCGACAATATATCCTTCTGCAATAGACGCTTCAACATGATATTTATTTCTAACATACGACTTTAATCTACATAAATATCGCTCCATCCAATACATCCAGCGGTAGTGAACTGGGCCACCTAACCTAATTTCATTGATTAAATGGACAGGTAGATGCATCATTACATCGAAAAAGGAAGGTGGGAATATCTTTTCAAACTGACAAAGAATTTCAACAATTTCGGACTGCAGGCCAGGAAGGTCTTCTATTCTGATAACTTTACTACAAATCGTCTTAAAAAAGACACCCAATTTTATTATTGGAATTGCAACTTGCTTTGGTAGTGCTTTCTTAACAACAACCTGGAGAAGATAATGGAGAATAATATGTGCATCATGAGTTTTGTATCCAGAAATCTTCTTGTCATTTACATGCACGCAATGAGATATGTTTGAAGCACAACCATTAGGTAATTTTGCATCCTTTATCACCTTACAAAAAACTTCTTTCTCTTCGCTGCTCATAGAAAAACATGCCTTAGAATATAGGAAATATTGACCATCTTCAGAAAGAGTAGGGTGAAGCTCTTCCTTAAAGCCTAAGTGTTGTAGATCTAACCGAGCATGAATATGATCTTTTGTTTTTCCTTGTATATCCAACAATGTTCCGATTATATTATCAAATATATTTTTCTCTATATGCATTACATCTAGGTTATGTCGCAATGCATTCTTCTCCCAATATGGCAATTGAAAGAATATAGATTTCTTCTTCCATGGGCAGTTATTTTTCTTTCTTTTTTTCTTCTTTTTCTTCCCAAAGTTATTAGTATAATCCCCTAATTTCTGGAGAACTTCACTACCAGTTAAAGGAGTAGGAGCATTTCGTTCCTCTATTTTTCCGTTAAAAGACCTCTCATCAAATCTCCATGGATGACCTTTACCAAGAAACCGACGATGTCCCAGATAACAAGTTTTCTTGCTATATTTTAAATATTGGGAGCATGTGTCATAATGGCAACAAGGGCATGCAAGTCTCCCTTGTGTACTCCAACCAGATAGCATAGCATAAGCGGGAAAATCGTTGACTGTCCATAATAAAGCAGCACGCATATTGAAGTATCGTTTACTAAATGCGTCATATGTTTTCAACTCCATATTGCCACAATTCCTTCAACTCGTCGATTAACGGTTGTAGATAAACATCAATATCCATTCCTGGATAATTAGGCCCTGGTATGAGTAATGATAGAATGAGGTATTCTGGTTTAAGACACATCCAAGGTGGCAAATTGTAGTTAATAAGTACCACTGGCCATGTACTGTGAGAAACACTCATTGTACCAAATGGACTGAATCCGTCACTTGCCAAACCCAGTCTTACATTACGTGGATCTTTAGCAAATTCAGCAAACATAGAATCAAAATCTTTCCAACATTGACCATCAGCCGGATGTCTCAGATTTCCATCATTCTTACGTTTTCTTTCATGCCAAGTCATTTCTTCTGCTGTTTCAGAACACATAAGAATCCTTTGAAGCCTAGGTTGTAAAGGGAAATGTCTCAAGACTTTTGCAGGAATTATACTCCTATTTCCCTCATTTATCTCCTTCTGGTCATACTCTTTCCATCTAGAAGTACCACAAACATGACATGATTCAGCATTCTCATATTCTTTCCTATAAAGTATGCAGTCCTTTGGGCAAGCATGTATCTTTTTGTAACCCAAGCCCAAACTATTGATAGTTTTTTTGGCTTCATAATAAGATTTTGGAAGGTTTGCCTCCGGCATTACCTCTTGTAGAAGTTCTAATAAATCTGAAAATGCTACATTACTCACCCGATTTATACATTTGAAAAGATACAAACGAATAGTGAAAGAGAGCTTTGAAAAATTCTTGCAACCTGGGTACAATTCCTTCTTACCCTCTTCCATCAACTTAAAAAAATTATTAGCTTCCGCATTTTGCTCTTCTCCTTCTCTGAGATTTCCAAAAGTGTCATTCAATAACATATCTATATCATCAATGTCATTTAAGCCCTCATCATTGCTGTCACAGTCCATACTCTGTTCTGTTTCCATTGAAGGCAAACCTTCTCCATGGAAATTCCATAAAGTGTAGCCTTCAACAAAACCATGGCAGATCAAATGACTATGAACATTTTCCCAATTATGCAAGTCGCGAAAAACACACTTCTTACATGGACAGTTTATACAACCATCAACCGCCGCTCTTGTAAATGCTAAATTAAGAAATTCATTCACTCCATCCTTATACTTAGGATGGATTCTAGGCAATTTCATCCAAGTTCTATCTGCACCGTTCATAACTGAAAATAATATGAGACATAAAACAAATCATTGATTATAGCTTTTCATAACTGATTAATACTCAGTTTCCCAATTACATATAATAACTGCATATGCTTAGTTGTTTTAGTTTTGTTACCAATATAGATATCCACTTCTTAATGTTTGAAAATAAGTCTTACGAGTAATACTTAATACAAATTTCTACACCTCCCCTGAATACTTGTTGCAAAGCTTTGCTAATCAAAATAGTATTATATGAAAATTCTGAAAATGAAACTTTAATGTTTATTAAATACTTGTAATTGAGTACCACAAAAAACACAGCGGGTATGGATCTGCAATGAAAATAAGATCGAGTGGCTGGATAAACAACAATATTCTCTTAGCACTCCCAAAAAAAATCATAAAACCATGTGCTCAATAATTTCATTCAACATTCAGCATATCAATTTCATTTGATGCAAATATAGTTCAATACAGATATAATTTAATCTCTGCCTATAGAAACGAATCGAACCTGGCGGCAATCGGTGATGGAAGCTCCGGCTACCAACTCAGCTTTGGGGTCCTGGCGACTACACCTTATGCGAAAGGAAACTCAGAGTCTAGATCAGGATTAATGAGGACCAGGAAAGCATATTTGAAAGTATGTTAGAAGCCTACCAGCATGGATTTCAGAATTAGGTTACTGCTCCCATTTTCTCTTGTGATGCAAAACGAAGGTTTGAGGGAGTAGCAGATCAAAATCGTCCGCGTTAGAAAATTGGGCTTTTTGATTTTTTTTAGATTAGCCATTAAAATAGTCCGTATTAAATACTACGTATGTAGTATATTTTTACATGTACTCCGTAGCATTTTTCTAAAACGTCACAATACCATATCTTTTGTAACAGTTTATTCCATAAATGCAAATATGCTACACCTCCTTGAACATGTTGTAGCATTATTTTAATTATTTTATAAAATGTTACAATAAAATTTCTATTGTAGCAATTTCTAAGATGCTACATAATAGGTGTTGCAATAGATACTTTTTGTAGTAGTGTCCTATGATTCGGGAATATCATGATGTCGCCGTTGTGGACGTCATACCTGTCCCTTTTGCTTAATGCACAAATGAGTAAGTATAAGAGGTGGGTATATTTTCACATGGTAACAATTTAAAATAATCGGTGACTAAAATTGATTAGGTTACACTTGTCCTTTATCAACATTTTGATCATATAATACCTCCATTCTCTTTTAAATGCAACATTGGATTTTTGCACTATTCAAATTTTTCTACTTCGACTTTATTTTATTTATTAATGTATTATAAATTAAATTTAAAAAATATATTATTAAATTCATCTCATTTTGAATTTTCAAAATCTAATTTTTTTAATTTTTTACTTATAAAGAATGAAAGATATTGATGGTCAAACTTATGTGTTGGCAAACGTGAAAAGTGAACCGTCACAACTAAAAACGAACAGAGGAAGTATTAGGTAATACCTCCATTCGTTGAAAGATTCTCATTGCAAAATGACACGGTTATTTAGACAATAATTAAATAGGAAAAATTGAAAATAATAATCTCAACTATTGTCGATCCGCTAATAATAATTTCAACTATTGATTATTTTTTATAATCCCAACTATATATACCATCCGCCAATAGTGGTCCATGACCGGTTACTACCAGCTATAACAGGTCAATTTTAAATAGAAATTAAGCTTATCCTATAAATAATCTAAACTATGCTCGCTCTTCTTTTAATAATCCCAACTATCAGCTCAATATTTTTTACAAAAATTAGAAATAATTATTTGAATTTCAGATTTTAAATTTTACGAATGGAATTTTAACTAAATATTAAAACGTGTTGTATTTTAGAAATAAAAAAAATCACATTTCATTTTTCATTATTATTCTCAGAATTTTTTTTATAAATAGTCGTTTTTTGAGTTGTTTTACAATTCACGGTTTTTATTAATTTTTAACTACTTTAAAATGATTTAATATTTTAGGATGATTAGCTTTTAATTTTTTTATATTTTGAAAATAAGTATTAGTATTTTTATCTTTTTCACTTTCTTAATTTTGAAAATCAAAGTTTTCATTTTTTAATTTGAATTTATAATTAATTTGAATGTCATTTATCCTTTAAAGTTTTTATATTGACCTTTTTACTATCCTTCAAAATATCTTACATGTTATGTAATTTTAATTTTAAAATTTATATAAGTTTTTCCATATTCTATAATTATATATTTTATAATCTTTAATTCTACAAGCTATCTAATAAATTTTTATAATCTTTTTTACCCTTTCTATTTATTTATGGAAATTTTAATTTAATATTTCTGGGTCCATCAGAAGTTGACGGACGATTGTTCAGATTATTATAATCTAGTATTTCTTTTTTGATTGACTGAACAGGTGGTCGGTCACGTCAGACCATTATTATATTGACGGAAGGTCTCTAAAGTTGGGATTATTATACCGCGAATAGTTGGATTATTACTATAAATTTTTTCAATTAAATATGATAATTCAAGTATATTTTGAGAAATAAATTTGATATGTGTATAATATAATAAGATTATTGGTGGTAATTGTGATGTTATAGATGTATTATTTTTAATATTTGATGGGTGAATTATCACTTAAAATGGTTAATTGCTTCATAAATTAAAAATGAGAAATTCTATATGGACCTCAAAAAAGGAAAGTAGAAGATTTATATGCGAGGGAGAGAGTACGTTACGTTAGTTAAAAATATAAAAATAATATTTGTTTCTATAGATCTTTTGATGATCTCTCAAAACACCATGATCTCTCCACACAAAAATTGCCACTCTACTGGGTGCCTTGGTCCCTAAGAGCATCCCCAATGATATAGTATGCACGGTGCATATGTGCCATGAAAGATAACCACATAAATATTCACAAATAAATTATCTCTCTCCTTATTTGAATAATTTTATTCAATTTTGGTAAGTTTTCCCCTGCAATGTCAACTACAATGTCAATATCTAGACAGTCTCCTTGACATTGTGGAGAAAAACTTACCAAAACTGCATAAAAGCATTCAAATGAGGAAATAAAGAATTTATTTATTAATATGTATGTGATTGTCTCTCATACCGCATGTGTACCGTGCACATTGTAGCATTGGAGATGCTCTAAACAATGTCAATAAATCCCGCTAATTATTTTCTTTCTTGGGCATTACCTTAGAAAAGTATTACTACCTCAGATCCTCCATCCAGATAATTAAAAAATGAGAACACTAGCGAATAGCGATTCAATGAATTCAAACAAAGGAATGAACCGGACAAAATCTCGCATCCATTAATTGGATAAGAATGTTTACAATGACAAATGGAGTGTGTATGGGAAACTTAAAAGTAAAAAACACAGTAGTGTGTGCACATATAGGCGTTGTCCAAAACTTTACAGTTTACAGCAGCAGCTGAGATTTAATTTGGCTCTCCATCTCTAATCTCTATGACTCTCCCAGTAGCAAATGAAGCTAGTACACTCTTTGCCTTCTGCACAAATTGTATTTTTTTAGTATCGTGATTTTCCACGACTAAATTATTTTTCCCTGTTGGAGGTTGTACCTATAAAACTCTTTTCAGCCCCCATTAGATGCATCTGTAGTGCAAGCTGAGTCGTTCATTGTGCTTTTCTTCTCTCGAGCAGGTGACGCTGACATATTCTCTTTCACTTGATCGAAAAAGAAGTTTGTTTTCCTCATCTTTAATTATTGGCCACTTCCAGAAACATTATGTTTCTTGGGTGACTTAGGTATCTCCATGCCCTCCTCAGCCCTATTAGGAGACATACCAATGTTATTCAATTCTGTATACAGTGACCCTGCCTGTTTCTCTGTGTCATTTTCATCTTTTGCAAATGATTCATCAGAAGCTGCAATGTCATCATGTGTCGTAGGTGAGTCAGCAAGCATACTAGCACAGCTCTCGGCATTGTTAGTTGTTGAGGTTTCTTCCCCTACACTTTGTTTTACTTCTTCTAAAGGCCCAAGCTTTACTTCAAGATCCTTGATTGCAAATGTTAAAGCTCTGGCATCCCTAGCAGCTGCTAACTTCCCACGAGGTGCTTCCTGTTCCAAACAGGACAAATGATTGATTTGAGTAAATTTTGCTTGCTTCCATGCACTATTTAGATAGAAGTCCTGCGTTCATCATGCATGTGTATATCTTATAGAGTCTAGTTTCATTCTTGTTAGAACGCTTCTTAATGTGAAAAATACGAACGGCCCGAAATGATGCATTATGATTCAAGGTGGAACACATATTTTATTAAGATAATGCATAGTTCAAATTCAAATGTGCAAAACAAGTTGAATTTATCTACAAAATGTCACCACATTTTCTTATTCACGATAGTGCATTTTTGTTTCACATAATGCACAACTTCCAAATCTGGTGCTCCAAATTCATTCTCATTTAATCCAAATTTTAAATAATATACTACTTATATAGAGGTTGGTTATAACAAAAGGAGGTCTTAACGTGTGAAGTCTATCACACATATCTCATTTCGCACATACTTTTACGTGTAATGCACTTTTTGACGTTTCGCCTAAAATAATTTATTTACAAAGATGCCACCGCATTTTGGTTAAACACGTAGTGGCACTTTTGTAAATACAACAACAACATCCAAGCCTTAGTCCCAAAAGATTTTGGGGTCGGCTAAGATAAATCGATGTATGATATCGATGTCAAAAAGAGAAGACTGGCAAGAAAAAAATAAAAAGAAAAAACGGATAAGATAGAGATAAATAAATATAAGAAAAACAACAATATAAGAGAGATAAAACATAAAAAGATAAAAGAGCATTAAAAAAACTAGAAGATAAAAAAACATAAGAACATAAAGGATAAATAAGATAAACGATAAAAGAAAACGATAGAGGAAAGATAGAAAAGAAATCAATCGTCCACATGAATGTACGCCCTCGACTTTGCTCTCTCCAAATCCATACTCACGTCCAACCCAAGAAGACGCATATCAATTCTGATTCCTCTAATCCAAATCTGTTTGGGTCTTTCTCTCCCTCTCCTCTCTGTCTCTTCTCCCCACCCCTCAAGTCGTCCAACAGGTGCATCACTCGGTCTTCTACGCACATGCCCAAATCATCGCAAACGAGACTCCTGCATCTTATCGTCTATAGGTGTTATTCCCACCTTTTGTCTGATTATCTCATTTCTCAAACGGACTTTTTTGGTATGCTCACACATCCAACGCAACATACACATCTCTGAAACACTCATCTTTTGAATGTGACATTGTTTCACCGTCCAACACTCTACGCCATACATTAATGCAGGCCTAATTGTTGTTCGATAAAATTTACCCTTCAGTCTAATCGGCATACCTCGATCGTATAGAACTCCTGATGCACTCTTCCATTTCATCCACACAGCTCTGATTCTATGGGAAACATCTCCATCTAATTCGGCATCCTTCTAAATTATGGAGCTCAAGTAACGAAACATATCACACAATGGTATCTCCCTACCATCAAGAGTAATCCCACTGTTGCTACTACTTCTACCTCCACCAAACTTCAGTCCATATACTCAGTCTTGCTTCGGATCAGTCTGAAACTCTTGGTCTCCAATGTTTGTCGTCATACTTCCAACTTTACTTTAACACTTGATTGTGTCTCATCATTCAATATAATGTCGTCAGCAAACATCATGCACCACGGTATATCTTCTTGAATTGACTTCGTAAGTTCATCAATGACTATAGCAAGTAAGAAAGGACTCAAAGTCGATCCTTCGTGCACTCCAATAGTAATAGGGAACTCTTCGGTCCTCCCTACACTAATACGAACACTTTTAGTACAAGCCTCATACATATACATGATGATACTGATACACTTACGTGAGATGCCTTTCTATATAAGGCCCACCAAAGGACTTAGGTACCTTATCATATGCCTTTTCTAAATCAATGAACATCAAATGCAGATTCTTTTTAATGTCTTTATACTTCTCCACATCAAAAAAAGTGCACTTTTTGTAAATAAGTGATTTTTTTGCAAAACATCAAAAAGTGCACTACACTACACATAAAGTAGTGCGTAGGATTTCACACGTCAAGTCCTCATTTTATTTTATCCTAATTCTATATGTATAGTGAGGATCCAATAAAAAGAAATCTTTAGGTGAGAAATGAGAATGAACCTCAACCATTAGATTTGATTATGTTACAGTTAGTGATGTTAAAGGCGCTGGTGCGGAGCAGCAGACAGTCCTGCCGCTACGAGATGAACTGTAACGTTGAGTTTGGGTGAGGCGAGTATGGCGGCCACAATAGCGATCACGCTATTGTGGTAAAGGCGGACGCTATAGCTACGCATTTCTGGCTTCGATGTCTTGAAATGTTTTTTGCATATAATATTTTTAGACTGAGGTTGAAGGGTAAATTTGAGACGATTGGGGAAGAAAATGTGGTGCAAGTGATCACCGACAATGGAAGTAACTATATTCTTGCGGGTAATATTTACTAATTCAATATTACTTTATTTAAAATTTAAATTTTTGAATTTCAATTATGTGAGTACGCTGTCCTATCTGAGTTTACTCATTTCTGTGTTAGGAAAACTGCTACAAGTGAAGAAAAAACATTTATTTTGGACACCATGTGTTGCCCATTGCGTAGACTTGAGGACGTTGGGAAGTTGTCCACAGTAAAAACAACAATAAGAAAAGGTATTTGTGTAGTGGGTTTCATCTATAACCACACAATTGCTCTCAACATGATGAGAAAGTTCACCAACAAGATGGAATTGCTTAGACGTGGTATTACAAGGTTTGCTACATCATTCCTTACCTTGCAACGACTGCATACTCAAAGAGCAAAGCTTAGAAACATGTTTACTTCCGATGAATGGAAAAAAATTAATGTTTCCAAAGATCGAAATGGGAAGAGAGTTTTGGACATAATCCTTAACCCTACATTCTGGAATGATGTTGTTTACATTCTGAAAGTAATGGGCCCTCTTGTGCATGTTCTAAGGCTAGTCGATCATGAGAAAAAACCCACAATGGGATACATTTATGAAGCAATGGATCGAGCCAATGAAGCAATTCAGAGTTCTTTTCAAGGAAATGAAAGGAGATACAAAAAAAATATTTGAAATCATTGATTTACGATGGGAAACTCAGCTTCATCATCCCTTGCATGTCGCTGGTCATTATTTGAACCCTTATTTCTACTACAAGAACCCAAGAATGGACCTATACAATGAGGTTATGCAAGGGCTTTACGTGCATTGAGAGGCTTAGTGAATATGAATAAATTGAAGATAAAATATCATGTGAGTTGAATGCTTATAAGAGAGCTGAATGTCTCTTTGGGTTGAAGCCGGCAGTAAGGCAAAGAGAGACACTTGGTCCCGGTAAGTTAAGGCATATGATTTTTTTTTTGTAATAATCAACCCTAATAGAATGTTTAATGTTTACTTCCACTTAAAGGTGAATGGTGGAGGAACTATGAATCTAGGTAGTTAACTTGCTACTCGGTAGTAACTCGGTCAAGGGCCGAGTAGCGAGTAGCACTGATTACTTTAATAGCAAAGGTGCCTGAGATTATAGAAATATAATAGTCTTAAATTTGTCTTAAAATGCATAGAAATGAATAAAATGATAGAAATCCTAATGATGGAGTAGCAAAAGTCATTAACATTCTAGTCTTCTAGAAAACTCAATCATCTAATAATTTGCTAGGATCTCTGTTCTCTCCCCATGTCCATCCTAAATCATCTGATTTTCTCTTAAGTGTTGGATTGACATATTCTGTCAATTAGATGATGCGTATCAGTGGTTGTGAGGTTATCGTGCCTAGTGGGAGGTCTCGAGTTCGAAACCCGCTAGGCACATAAGGGTTTGAAACTCAATGGAGTGAGTTTCAGCCCTGATTACTCCAGGTCCTCCCAGCCCCCCTCCCTCAGACGCTCCCTGGAGTAAAAAAAATGATGTGTATAAGTGTGTATCGATCAATGATGTGCCATAATAAACAATCAATATAGTTATATTAATTTAAAGTTACGTGGTACGAAGTATAATATATATAGTCATACTAGTGAAAATAATTTATTTATATCAACAATATAGTGATATTAATTTATTTATATCAACAAATAGTATGAATCACATACACCAAATCTTCAAAGACTTGCCATAAAGATCTTAAGTTTTACTTGTAGCTCATCGGGATGTGAGCGCAATTAGAATACATTTGAGCACGTACGTTATTATTACATATTTTAAAAGTTCTATCAACAAACATATAGTGTATATTAGTGTACTGCTTCCAGTCTGGAGTCTAGACTAACAATTTTTTTAATATAAATTTGTAACATAGATTCATTCGAAGAAGAGAAATAGGCTTGAGCACCAAAGGTTGCAAGATTTGGTTTATATTAAATATAATCAAGATCTTAAGGAGCGGTTTGATAGCCGTGATTTGATCGATCCAATTCACCTAAATGATATTGTTGGGAGGAATGAGTGGTTTCGATGATGACGCTAACTTTACTTGGGGAGATGTTGCTGATCTAACTGGTGTGTGTGTGTGTGAGCCCTTAATAAACACTACACAGCAAATCAGAACAAGTGAAACGGCTACAAGCTCTTGAGGAGCTACAAGGTCTAGAGGGGCCACAAGCTCTAGAGGGAAGCCCCGCTCAATAGAAGATATAGAACATGTTGAAGTGGCAGAGCAGACAAATATGGAGGAAGAAATTTATGATTGCAGTAGTAGTGAAAATGACAATGAAGATGAGATAGAGTTGGAAGAATAAGAAGAATTTGATGAGTAGGAGTGGTGAATGATGAATTCAAAGGGCTTGCAAGTCGGATCTAAATTTTTTGACTGTTAATTTATCAAGGCTTAAACACTTAAACTAGAACCTTGTTTTTAATTCAAGATGTTTTAATCATTAATAGCATCTTATGTTTTGGTCATGAAACTAAAGACTTAAAGAGTATTTCTAAGTAATTTAGGATTTATGAATGTTAAGACTTAAGATGTTTGCAAGCTTCATTGGCATATATCATACTTTGTTAATTAGAATTTGGTATGTAATGTGTTATATATGCTTCTAGTAATTACGTATCTGCTATGTTTGAAAGTAGCCTAAATAGCGATCATCCCGCTATCCGTTATACCGCTATAGTGTTTTTGGGGCTGGTCGCTACGCTCCCCCCCCCCCCCCATCTGGGATTGACAACACTGATTACAGTAAAAGATGTTCATATTGCCGAATAGGTCTCTAGTGCAACATAAAAATATTTTAGTGCACCTTGGTCAAATCCAAGTGTAACATGAAGTCGTTTTAGTGCAACATCGTAAAGAGCTACCTCAAGTTACAATTTTAGTATCTTGCAAACAAAGAACTACCTAAAGTCATAAAGAAAAAGCCAGAGGGAAAGTGCAAGTGCATATATATTCTTGATTTAATTTCCAGAAATTAACACTTAAGCTTGAAACCCATGTGCACTGCCCAACAGAGCAACTTCCTCTCTTTCAGAGATAAATTACAAACATTGTGACCATATTGACATTCATTAAAATAATTGATTGCGAAATTTTCTAATCAACAAGATCCATTTTAATAGAATTTCTTACTAATAAATTCTCCACATAGACAAGTACAAGCTTGGAGCCATTCAATTAACATGGCTTAGAGCAGATGGTAAATAGGATTGTATTTGGAAAAGGGAGATGTCCTCAAATAGAAGCAAAACATGTCATTCTTCCTCAAATAGAGCAGATGGTAAATAGGATTGTATTTGGAAAAGGGAGATGTCCTCAAATAGAAGCAAAACATGTCATTCTTCCTCAAATAGAACTACATATAAAATTGGATTACCAAAACTACCCTTTAACTGTACAACTTCCACTGCCGGATAGCTACCACCACCGGTCATCCGCCAACATCCACCGCTGCCGTGCCAATGGAAAGTTGCCGGTCTCCACCGGGCAGCCACCACTAAACCCTAATAGGAATTGGTAAACTATAGAAATGCTAACCCTAAAGAGGGATTGTTAAACCCCAAACAGTAATGCTACACCTTAAGGGTATTTTAGGATAAAATTATTACCAATAATGCCTGTGTAGTCCCATTTTTGAAAAATGCAAAGATTTAGTCCTACGAAGAGCAACATTCTCTTTAGTAAACAAGTTTGTGTTTCTTGAGATAGAAAATGAAAAGGAATGAGGAGTATATGATACACAAAACTAACCTCCATCAACACTTCTGTCCTTTTCTTCAATGCTTCTAGAGATGCTTCCTTGTGAACAAGTTTCAAGATGCAAACTAAGTGAGACTGGAGATTCTCGGACCGGTGGTCCGCAATATAGCACTGTGGAACTGTAGATAAACAACCTACAGGATAAAAAGGGCAGTTCACAAGCTTCATTGAACATACAGTGATACAATGCCTGTCCATATCACGCCTCATTATGCTATCTGGACATTTCTGCTCACATGGAAGCATTTTGAAAGGACAGGCGCTGTCATGCTGATCCACATGACCAGCAACAAATATAGCATTACATCCCTCATTCTCGCAGTTCACAACCCGGAAACTGCAAGAGGGAAGATGATGTTCAAGTTCTTCTTCAGACCTAAACTTCATACTGCAATGATAGGTATTCTTGACATCAACATTTCTCAGCAAAGTTAGTGCAACTGATTCCCTCCGCCCAATCAACCAAAACCCATTCAGTTCCATCTCCTGCACAAAATCATCTATCCTATCTTCTCTCCTATCACTCAGAATCCATCCTGACACACGGCTGAAAAAATTTCTTTTTGAATGTGCAAAATCATCAATAAAATCGGAGATAATATCAAAAGCATCAGTGGGTGCTTCTATAATAGGGTCACCTTCAAAGACAACCGATTCCGCCACAAAAGTCTCACTTCTTTGGACAAGATAGTCCACCATTTCTCTTCTAACATCAAGAGCCACTGATGCAGGACTCTTGAATATGCCACCTGTCGTGTTGTCAACACATGCAGATGCCAAACCTGTGAGAAATTCTTGTCCTATCTTGTGAACCATTTCAGCATCAAAAAGGTTGCAGTGAAACATTGGACCTTCCTCTTTAACTTCTTCAAGTGTTTCTGGTTTGACTTCAGCATCACTTGCAGGGGGGTCCATGTTGGCAGGTGGGCTCATGGTTGAAGATTCTTGCATCATGTTCAATATCTGAATCTGAATAAATCAGTCTGAAAAAAATGGCATCACTTATACCGGGAGATAATGAAAGAAAATGCTCATGCAAACATAATTAGTATATCCAGAAATATCAATGCATTATCTTCAAGAACAAGTCAGACAGCTGTTTGGATGGGGGTGTTAGAAAGCAGGCATTTTTACAATATTCCAACAGAAATCTACCACAGCAGTTAGTATAATTGGCTATAATTTCAACATTGTGTTATGTACCGGGATTCTTTGCATCAAGGGAATGAAATAAAAATGATAAATGGATAGGGGCTATGGAAATTTGGGGAGTTTTCCTTCTCCTTGATTTTCTTCTTAATTTTTCTTCGATATTTTATTAGCACAGCAAAGCTCCCTTTTATAAGAGGGATTACATGCATATGAATGTAGAAAAGAAGGAAAGGGAAATCCTAGAAAATCACTTCCTAAAATAGATTAAATAATGAAGGTATTAAAATCAAATCATAATAAAGTCAATCAAGCAAATCAATCAGCTATTACTCCTCATTATTCTACTTGATTGCTCTCTTTATCTTTCCATAATATTGTATTGTAGCACGCATCAAATTGAAAGATCTTACACATTATATTGCTTATTCACGAATAAAACTGCTACATCAGGGGTGCTTGGAAAATGGCATTTCAGCCAAAAATTAGCGGTGTGACTCCATTTAGCGACAACTAATTGCTACGGCCAAACCGCTAAATTACCAAACATCTTTTTGCGACCCGCCAACTTATTCTGCTGGTCAAACCCGCTAACTGAATCCACTATTAATAACCCACTAACATAATCCGCTATCCGCTAACCGCTAAATGCCAAACACGCCCATCATCTATCATCTAACAGGCGCGGGGGTGGTTTCCCATTGCGATGGCGCAAATAGTTAACACACAAAATAAATATGTTGTGAAGCTACACAAACATACCACATTAAAACATACATAAATTCATACTCTTTCTGTCCCTTAAAACTTTGTCAACTTTCCTTTTTTTTGTCCCATTAACTTTGCCACTTTTCCTTTTAAATTAAGAATTTGTGGTTTCAAAAAAATATCTCCTCTGCACAAACCTCAACCACACAAGTTTTACTTTATTAATCCCTGTGTTGGTCAAACTTGGCAAAGTTTTAAAGAAAAGAGAGAGTATAAAAAGATGTACTCAACATAGCGTGACTAAGTACATATACTCTCAAAGTAAACAGCAAAGTGCTAATCAAACATAAAATAAAGGGAAAATCACCAGTATCCTCCCCCAATTATCCACCATATTGAAATCCCAGACTTGTGTTTCAGGTTTGTTAAATGTGACCCCCGAGTTGTCAAAATAATTATAAATGTCACCCTTGTCATTATAAATATTACAAACTCCATTTGTTTTTCGTTTTTTTCAGGGTTAAACTCGTCATTTCGCTTCCTTTTCATTCAAAGCCCTAATTCAAAATTATCCCCAACCCTTTACCACGCTTATCCTTCCAAAATTCAAATGCAAAGCTTAATCCTTTGCTCTGAGTTTTTTTCCGCCAAGTTTCAACGGCACATGGCGTTCGAACAGTGAACGTATATTGAGGCCAAGATTCACCTTTCAAGGTTGAAGCTGTGACAGAGGAAAGAATCAAAGAAAGATGACAGTCAAAGAATCAATGGGTTAAATGTGACTCCAAAGTGTAAATACGCAAACCAAACTTCTTTATTGTTCTTCTTTATAGACGAAGAACGGGTGATGGAAGACATCTCTTCTAAACTCCAAACGGCTGAAGAAAAGACCAATGAAGAGAGCTTTTGAATCAGGGCAAAGGAAGAACGGGAAGAACGTCTGAAGAGCTTTTCATTCCCAAGCAACGAACGAAGTGTGGTTTGTATTCGATTAAGGGCTTTATTGAACGAAAAGGAAGCGAAATGACGAGTTTGACCCCGAAAAAACAAAAGAGAGACGGAGTTTGTAATATTTATAACGACAGGGGTGACATTTATAATTATTCTGACAACTCGGGTGTAGGGCTGTTAACGAACCGAGCTTTTATCGAATTGTTCGAGTTCGAGCTCGGTTTCGAACCTAACGAGCCGAGATTAAAGAGCTTTCGAACACGAACCCGAGCTGAATTTTAAGTTCGAAAAATTAATCGAGCCGAGCTCGAACATAGTAGTATTCGGCTCGGTTCGAACTCGAGCCTATCGAACACCCTAAAATTATAAATATAATTAAAAAATTAAATATAATTAGTATTATTTTATGAATTTAAATATGATTATTAAAGAATTGAATATTTGTCGAACCATTCGAGCACGAGCCTATTAACGAGCATCACCTAAAATTTTAAATTCGAGCATATTTATCGAGCTTATCGAGCACTCGGATCGAACATCGAACGCCTGTCGAGCCGAACACGAGCCTCATTTGTAAAGCTCACCGAGCTTCGAGCTCGAACCCGAACACCACTAATTCCTTATCGAGTCGAACACGAGCTTTGGGTGTTCGGGCTCGGCTCGGCTCGTTAACAGCCCTACTCGGGGGTGACATTTAACAAACCTGAAACACGGGTCTTGGATTTCAATATGGAAGATAATTGGGGGACGAAATGTGCGATTTTCCCTAAAATAAACATACAACTACAAGTCCAAAACATACTATCACATAACGTATGCATTACAATATAATATAACATACATGCTAATATAACATTATAATGTATAGTATATATAACTACATATACATCACATGCATGACACGTTATAATATAAATATATAACATACAGTATATTGATTATCTGATATACAAAAATCATAATACATAAATATAGAATATACACTAATGGTACTGACACACATATATATACGGGAGTAATAGCTAAAGCACGGTAATATCTTGAGAGGAGTTATCTGTGTCTTTTCTCTAAGCAAACACAATCCTTTGTTGACGTCAGTGGTCTTACTTTTCGCGTCCTGTTAGTGTGGTGGTCAAGGGGTGGTCTCCGGCTGCTGGGTGGTCATAGGTCGCTTGGAGCTGGTCGATGGTCGCCGGTCCCTGAGTGCTCGATGGGTGTTACTGGTTGAAGGTGCCGTATTTAATCCGGGCCAAATAGCGCAAATAGCGCAGGCCCGGTAATGGCGGACAGATGGCAACGCCAGATGTATACTCGATGCCACAACCAGGATTTGTGGCGATGACCCCCTAAAACGCCAATGGCGAGAAATGACAATCATCATTTGCGCCATCGACTACTATGATAGTACCGTGTTGATTTATTTTCCCTTGCTTGACTCATGAATTCTAGCTATTTTGGATTATAGAATCACGATGGTAAGGGAGAACCAAAAGCAGTAGCGTACTGCGTAAGGCATTTATATTAGAGGGTGTAGGAGGTGATAAACTATTAACGAAGGCGAAAGGGGATGGGATTCATATATGGATATTTTTCACAAACAACAAACCAAGCTCTGAGTCTCAAATTAATATGGTAGGCTACATGAACCAATAGAAAAATCAAAAATCTCACAAGGTCATCTACCAATGGATTAAGGCTTAAAAGGTTATGAAAAAGGAGGACCACACACTTGGAGAAGCACAACAAACCAACTACACAGGGAACACAAAGCCTTTCAGCCTACACAGAAGTTACAAAATAATGAAAGGATTCTTAACCCTAGACAAAATAGACCAGTATTCCATTTCCTTCATTCACAAACATCTTTAATGACACATTAGATGATACAAAAAAATGAATAAACTGCAATTAATTAATTGATTAATTAGGCGATAAGAAAACCCAAAATTAAAAACGGAAGAAAGATGAAATCGATTGGCCCTTATGAAGAGGGTTAAAGGAAAATTGCAAGAAAGAAGAGTATTGAACTTCTTATTTTGATAAACTAAAAAATTCAGGGTAAGAGTATTACTCCGTAATAAATATTAATTTGATTCAGGCTAACCTAAGATAGACATAAATTGAACCACCAACACAATTACGGATGGAAATGCAATTCACATGTAGAACATCTACCTGATCGATGATCACAATTTCATGCCTGTAATTGGAACATTGCACTGCGGAAGAGGTGCAGATGAATGAAACATATACTGTATGAACTCCGCACGCAGATGGAAAGCAGATAAGATGGATTGATGGAAAACTGTGTGAGAAGAGAATGGATCTTCTTATTATTTCAATAAACTGAAAACCAGGGACGGGGGCCTAAAAAATGAATCAGTCATATAAAATTTTTATTTTTAATTTAATGCTTTTGAAATTGAAATTGAATTGGCAAAAAGTCACCGCTCCTAGACTCCCGCAATTCCCCCCAAACAGCTAAAAAGGCGAACACCCAAATCCGAAATCTTAAAACGCTTAATCAAAATTTGTTAGACTCTGACCGACGGTAAGATTTTGACTCTGGCTTTAAGATTTTACAGTCAAAATCTTACAGTCGGTCAGAGTCTAAGAAATTTTGATTAAGCGTTTTAAGATTTTACAGTCAAAATCTTACAGTCGGTCAGAGTCTAAGAAAGATGAAATCGATTGGCCCTTATGAAGAGGGTTAAAGCCAGAGTCAAAATCTTACAGTCGGTCAGAGTCTAACAAATTTTGATTAAGCGTTTTAAGATTTCGGATTTGGGTGTTCGCCTTTTTAGCTGTTTGGGGGGAATTGCGGGAGTCTAGGAGCGGTGACTTTTTGCCAATTCAATTTCAATTTCAAAAGCATTAAATTAAAAATAAAAATTTTATATGACTGATTCATTTTTTAGGCCCCCGTCCCTGGTTTTCAGTTTATTGAAATAATAAGAAGATCCATTCTCTTCTCACACAGTTTTCCATCAATCCATCTTATCTGCTTTCCATCTGCGTGCGGAGTTCATACAGTATATGTTTCATTCATATGCACCTCTTCCGCAGTGCAATGTTCCAATTACAGGCATGAAATTGTGATCATCAATCAGGTAGATGTTCTACATGTGAATTGCATTTCCATCCGTAATTGTGTTGGTGGTTCAATTTATGTCTATCTTAGGTTAGCCTGAATCAAATTAATATTTATTACGGAGTGATACTTTTACCCTAAATTTTTTAGTTTATGAAAATAAGAAGTTCAATACTCTTCTTTCTTTCAATTTTCCTTTAACCCTCTTCATAAGGGCCAATCGATTTCATCTTTCTTCCGTTTTTAATTTTGGGTTTTCTTATCGCCTAATTAATCAATTAATTAATTGCAGTTTATTCATTTTTTTGTATCATCTAATGTGTCATTAAAGATGTTTGTGAATGAAGGAAATGAAATACTGGTCTATTTTGTTTAGGGTTAAGAATCCTTTCATTATTTTGTAACTTCTGTGTAGGCTGAAAGGCTTTGTGTTCCCTGTGTAGTTGGTTTGTTGTGCTTCTCCAAGTGTGTGGTCCTCCTTTTTCATAACCTTTTAAGCCTTAATCCATTGGTAGATGACCTTGTGAGATTTTTTATTTTTCTATTGGTTCATGTAGCCTACCATATAAATTTGAGACTCAGAGCTTGGTTTGTTGTTTGTGAAAAATATCCATATATGAATCTCATCCCCTTTCGCCTTCGTTAATAGTTTATCACCTCCTACACCCTCTAATATAAATGCCTTACGCAGTACGCTACTGCTTTTGGTTCTCCCTTACCATCGTGATTCTATAATCCAAAATAGCTAGAATTCATGAGTCAAGCAAGGGAAAATAAATCAACACGGTACTATCATAGTAGTCGATGGCGCAAATGATGATTGTCATTTCTCGCCATTGGCGTTTTAGAGTCTAAATATATGGATGGATTCGAAAGATGAACTGATTTTGGATCTTTCAATTGTTGCAATCAAGAAACTAAACAGGAGAACAGGATACGTACCTCTTTGCTTGCGTGTGAATGTTAAACGGAAGCAAAACCAGAAGGATTTTTTGATAATTACGTCGAGAAGTTTAATTTGAAAACAAAACCAGAAGTTAGTTTGCATAAAACAGGAGTCGTTAATTTAGACTTCAACCGGAAGACTTGATGCATTGGAAGTCTTTTTCATATTTTAAGATCCAAAGACTTCCCATGATATTACGTGGATTAGAAGACCTCTTATTATTTGACAATTGGCCCAATATTGCCACACTAGAAAGAACCGCATTGCGGTTGCTCTTAGATTGGTCAGAGTCTAACAAATTTTGACTAAACCAATAGAGCAAGAATCAAAATTTGTTAGACTCTGACCGACTGTAGTAATATGATTGTAAACCGGCTGTTTGATTGTATCTGGACTTTTGTTACAAATAAGTTGTTATTTGTGTTTGAAATAAGTTTTTTGTTTACATTAATGGTCTGAGTGCTACTAATGAATCAACACACTAGGCCATATGATCTACTATTACATTTCAGGAAAGGAGTCTTAAGTGGTACACATTTTTAGCATATAAAGCAGGGACAATGGTTTTCAACAACACGAACTGTACTGGATATTACAAAACCTTTTGAATCATGACAGTTATTTGAGCTAAAGCCTAGAACTAACGAGTTCAGTTCATATTACAGTATCAAATTTAATCTTAAGCTTTGTAATAAGCATTATAATAGTTTTTACAATATTGTAATTTCTAGGTCAAGTTTTTATGAATAAAGATGACATAGTTTTGCTATTATGCATATATGGCTTCTAGGAGTTCAGGTACTAACATATAATATGCTGGAAACAATTATTCATAACTCAACCAACATATTTATAAAAGAGAGTTTTGCTGTTATGCATATATAACCAAACACATGGTAGTCAATGGCGCAGAATGGCGCGCGCGCCATGCGCCATGAGGCGCGAAATCCCAGATGCGCTATGAAAAGGGCTGGTGGCGAGGTGTATACACATGGCGTCGCCATTCCTGCGCCTTCGCCATTCCTGCGCCTTAGCCATGGCGACGCGAATGCTTTTTTAAAAAATGGGTCCGTTTTTGAGCTGTAAGTTGTTTAGGTTTGGGCCATAACAATCTATTTTAGCCCATAACAACAATAAAACTTACTATTTTAGCCCATAATACTAACAACAACCCTAACTAAAAATAAATAAACACAACAAAGTGAACACGTGATGAGAAGTTAAAGCTACTGCGACAACAAAAAAGCTCTGCGACAACCGAGAAAGGCAAACGACAAAGGGGACGGACTGTCGTTGACTTCTTCCAACTACATAAGGTACTACAACCTCTTTAATGCTGTGTATTAATGAATAAAAGTTCAGTTTAGAAGTTACAGTTTATCCAAAACTTTATATGAGTTATAGGATTTGTAAAATGAAGTTTTTACTTTAATACTTATAGGAGTTATAGCATTGAAAAATGAAGTTTTTACTTTATAACTCAAAGTATTTAAACTGATAAATTGATACACTTTTATGAGTTAATTTAGACTGTTTATGAAAGTCTAAACTTTACTGTGAATGGTCTAAACTTAAATGTGCATGGTTTAACTAAAACAGAGACTTTCTATGGTATATAATTTATGTAAAGTTTAAACTTAAAGATAAAGTGTTTATGAATGTGTTTAAAGTTTAAACTTTATATTTTGTGTTTAAAGTTTAAACTGAACTTTACAGTAGTTGATGCTCATTGAAATTTTTACAGTAGTTGATGCTCATTGATCATTTTTATTTTAATTTACTTTACATGATGCTCATTGAATTTTTTTTCTTAATTGTTATTATAAAGGTAACCGAAGAGGCAGAGCAAAGGATGTCTGTTGCCTTTGCTAAGGAGCTCTGTCAGAAAGTGAAAGAAAACAACAACAATGAATTAGGATGGTGTGCCATTGCTATCAGATTCAGACGAAGATGATGAAGAGTCTGATGATTGATGATGATTATGCCATAATCATCAAACAAAAACAAGCTAACAAGCCTAAATCCTAACATATTTTGCAAGACAGAAACTTTTTTTTTGAATATTATGTTTTTTGGAAGTACTTTGAACTATTTTATCATGTTTTAGTGGTTGGGTAAACTTGGGTAAACTTTAACTATTATTCGTTTTGATTTATTTTTTTTTGTCACGTGGCGACGCCATATTTGCGCCATCGCCATCGCCATGGAAAATGACCTGTGCGCCATGGGTTGCGCCATGACAACCATGACCAAACACCAACATAACTCTCTTTTAATAACTCAACCAAACAATCTTATTTTCACATCCATTTCAACTCAAGGAAACACTCTTTATACTACAAAAATATTTGCTTTGTATCAGTTTTAAAAGCCACCTCAAGCTCCTGCTTAACACACATACACACACAGGAACACTTATAAAATCACGAAACAAAATAAATCATAGGAAACCGTAAGATAAGAAATTAGGAATTCACCTTACAACCTAGCAATTCACAAAATTAATAACTCATATTAAGAGAAGAACAATAAAGAATTAAAGAAATCATGCCATACTCTTCTAGAGGATCAAATATTAGAGAATTTACATTCACATTAAAACCCATCAATTGGCCAAACTACGAACTCATATACAAAGAGCAAGAATAAATAATTAAAGAGAAACTAAATTCATGTAGCAATTCACTAACGAAATTAAGAACACATATAAAAGAGAAAGAATAAGAATAAAAAAGAAATGGTGATATCTCCCTAATTAACACATTAAAGCTTTAGAAATTCGCATACCCGAACACGGATGAATCCTGATGGGGTTATTTGAAGAAAAACTGAAGAAACAATGTTTGGATGTCGAAAACTAACCTGATTTTCCCAAAAAAATTGAATGAATCGGCCAATCGCAGAGATCTCAGAGCTGCTTCAGCGATAGAAATACCAGAGAGAATGATTTATTTGTGGCAGATCGGCAAAGAGAGTTCACTATATAGGTCTTGAGTTTTCAATTTCCCTCCTGAGTTTTAGATTTCCTTCTTCAGTTTTCGTTTTCCCTCTGATTTTTTGGTGAAGTCGCGCTTATTGCGTTAACCTTCACGCTGTTAAGACAATGTCTAATTTTGATGAAGTGGCAGACTAAACCTAAACTAGAATACCAGCGTTGGTGATGCTCTAAAGTTATTCGTAGAGTCGCCGGAATCACCGCCTCTCTGGATGCCGGAATCAACACACTAGAAATCAAGCACGATACAAGGAGCAGACTAGGGCTGCACAAGTTAATCTGTTATTTGATTTTTAAAAATATTCATAAGTTAAATATGATTGAATCCGCACATCATGGGTATGGTTGCGGAATTAAAATCTCCAAACCAATAACATCCGACTCGGCCGAAGTTCATATTCTATTATTATGCTACAATGTTTTCTTGGATAATTTTAATTTATGACCAATGTGTTCTATCTAGGACTTTATGATACTAGAATTATAATTAAACATTTACCATTTTGACTAGGTGACTATTATATATTTATGTTTCCTTCTAAATGATTTTCTTTTTACGGAAGAATGTTTTAATACTAGGAGTGATAGAGTATAAGTCTAGAGAGAAATGAGGAGAGCTAGAGAGAGAAGTGCTATAAATGCTGATATTAATGATTTTGAGAACCCCCACAACTACCCCCAAGGGGAGTATTTATAGAGGAAATTAGGGTTGAACTCTCAAGTCTTGGGCTTGGGAGGCCCATTTACAATTGGGTCACTATTGGGCTGAGTACAAGATGTGTAGAAATAACTAAGTACGAAATCTGGTTCTAGGAGTCTTTTGTGGCCGACGCGGTCATGGCCGACGCGGGGTCATTATGGATGCTAGGGTCATTATTGACATGCCCTGTGCGGGCAGATATTTCCGCTTGGGGTGGCCGTTGAGTGGCTGGCCATTACGGATGTTGATTACTGGTACGTTGGCGATGGACTGGTACTGATGGAAGTGGGCCTGATCCATCTTTTGAATCGGTGGTAGCCCAATGGGCCTTAGGAGTGGTGGTCGTTTGTGTGGCCAGTGGGGGAGCGCCACATGTAGTGACTGTTGGGGGGTCTATAAATACCCCTCTCCATCCGAAGGAACTCCCTATTGCTTTCTGAGATATCGAAGCGCTGCCCAAATTTCTAGAGAGATAAAGGTTGTTCGAGTGTTCTTCAAAACTTCATAACTTCAAAGGTCAGTTCATCAATCTTTTCTCCTCTTTTTTACATATTTTGCATCCCTAGGGCCTCGATCTAGTGTTAGTGAAAAACCAACTTTAGATCTTAAGTAGTCGCTTCTGGGCCTTAGTTAGCCGTTATGATGAAACCTTTGGACGATGAATACTACCCATATGACGATGAGGCCTCCGTTAAATCCCTTGACTATCGGGTAGTAGAGGAGTGCTGCGAGGAGATAGAGGACCTGAGCTCCTTCAAGTCAGGGGAGCAGGACAGTGAGGGTGAAGACGAAGAGGCCGCCTCGTCGTCTGAGGGTGTGGACGTAGGGGTTTCCCGCGCCCTGGATGGAGCATCTACTTCAGCCACAATTCCCTGCGCAAAGCCGGTTTCTGCCGTTAAGGGGACCGTCCCGACGAGAAGGCGTCGGCCGAAGAAAGGTCTAGGTTTCTCCTACTTGGACCTCACGAACATCTACCTTATCAAGCCGGAGAGTAGCGCGGCTGATTACTTGGTGGCTCAGATGTATGTGGGGCCGTATGGAAGGGTTAGGGCACCCAAGTCAATGGTTCATGTGCTTCAACCTCCGGCCGGGTATTTCAGGGTGTACCCGATGAGTTTTGCTAAAGGACTTCGGTTCCCGCTTCATCCATTCGTCATGGAGTACCTGGATATGGTGGGTCTTCCTCCAGCCTTGCTGACCCCGAACAGCTATTCACTTATCGTCGGCTTCCTCCTTCGCTGTGATGAGCTAGACTTTAGGCCGGCAACAGCTCTGTTCATGAATTTGTACCAGATAGGCCGAGGGAGACACAAGAATTGTGCCTGTTACGCCACCCTCCAGCAGATAAAGAACAGGAGGTCTTTCACCGATCTGCCTTCGTCCATTCATGGCTGGAAGAGTAAGTTCGTTTTTGTGTCCTTGGGCAGGGTGGCACCGAATTTCCCTCTGTCGGCCATAACGGGAGATTTAACCTCCATGACGTGCCGAAGAGTAGCATTTTAGATGCCCAGGTGACGGCATTCTTGAAGGGAGGGCCGAGGAGTGTGAAGGACTATATCACAGAGTATAAAATGACCTACATCGGCTTTATGAGGTACTTTGTGTACGGGGATAAGGAGAGCGATACCGAGATATGGCCGAGGATGACCACCACTTTCGAGGAGGCTGATGACCCGGATTTGGGCGTGCCCGCCGAAGCTGATGGTAATGCTCTCCTCGGCGTTCTTGTCTTATTTTTGTTTCCTCTCCTCGCTAACTATTGTTTTTATGTAGATTTTGTGATGGACCGCAGATCCGTCATGGCCTTAGCTAAGGCAAAGGCACGTGAGGAGATGGCTGCCAAGGAGGCCGCAAGGTTGGCCGCTGCGGGTGAAACACAGCCGAGCTCGGATGTGCCGAAGAAACCGCCAACTCAGTCGAAGAAAAAGCGACCGGTGGATGACGGTCAGAAGAAGCTGACCGAGGCCGATATGCAACCTTCCAAGAAGTCGAAGAGGGCTTCTCCTTCGACCGAAGCTGATGTCGGGGTTTCGACTGTACCAACCGAAGATGTTGGGCGTTCCAATGTCGTTGCTGTTGTCGACATGGTTTCTGCCCCTTCGTCGACTGCTATGTCCCAGCCACCCCCTATCGTCCAGGACTCCCGGAAGAAGGGGCCGGGAAGGAGCTGGCCGTCGGGACCTATAAGCTGGAGGTCGAGTACCCTGTAAAGGGCGGCGTCTTCAATGATGATGTTGACGGCCATGATGTGCTTGCACAAGCTGTCCCGATCAAGGATCGGGCTTATCTGAAGAAGCTTGGCCCAAGTACTTTGAAATTTCTCTAAGTATTGGACAGATTTAGGTGGTTACTTCCTTTGGGAGTGGGAGATGACGGCTTCGCCTTTGGGTCGGCTGAGTGAGTTTCCCATGGGCCATTTTAGTTAGGTGTCGGCTATCTCGTGCCCTCGTCCATCATCCGAGTGCCCATCTTTGGCCACAATAGTTTACCTTAGAAATTTTGTCCAAGTTTTTTTTGTATGAATGCTTTCGTCCATAATGCATAACATTTGCCTGATATGTACTTAGTCAATTTTGGGGATTTTATTTTTATTGCTCGAGGCCGACGAGTGCACGGCTCATCGGCTTCCCTCTTTTATGTTTGGGGATATTGCTTTAGGCCGGCAAGTGCACGGTCATTCGGCTGTCCCTCTATTATCTTTTGGGGATATCGCTTTAGGCTGGCAAGTGCACGGTCCTTCAGCTATCCCTCTTTTATTTTTTGGGGATATCGCTTTAGGCCGGCAAGTGCACGGTGTGACACCGTCCCCAAACATGTTTACTTTTAATAAATTATATAATAAACCTCGAAGGATGATTTATGAATTTACGTAATTGTTAAATTTTATTTTTCTTTTACGTTACTAGTAAATTGCATGTGGGGCCCACAACGGGAATGGGGACCGCCCGATAATTCCAGAACCCCATATTATATTCATCTTGGTCTAGATGACATCTATACGGGGGTGGACATTTTATTTGGGTCATGGGAAGGGCATGGAGTTGACCGGTCGGTCAAATGAGGCCCAATTACCGGTATCGGTAATTTAGCGGATAACAGCCCGAAATGAATTTCGGAGACTCCTAAATTAATATTGGGGAATGTACAAACACATCAAACAACGTAATTGTTTTTCCAAAAGTATATTCTAAAACAACTACACCCTTTCCCAAGATAGGCACCATTGACGCGTCTCCCATGCGTAAGAAGGAACCGACCTCCGTTGGGCTGGTTCTAGGTCTTCAAACCATCATTTATCCTTACACACATGGCATGTAGTCCCCGAGTCAATCCACCATGCACAGTCATCATCCTGCACATAAAAAGATTCTGGAATGAGTGATACATAATTCTGAACAGAATTATCAAAGTTAGTCAGGAACTGACCTCCTTTCCGTGGAACCAGGTCCTTAGACCATTCATGTCCACTGCCACACGTTCCAGCGCCATTCTTGTTCAGTTTCACACGGCAATCACGCTTGAAATGTCCAACCTTTTGACACCTCCAACAAACCAAACCTTCCGGTTTCTCGTTGGGTTTGTCATGGTCTTCATACTTGCGCTTTTTGTCTTTCCCCTTATCTTTCAGGTTAGATTTATTATCCTCAACCAAGTGAACATGAGCCAGTCTAGATTCAACTTCACCCATAATTTGGTCATTCTTTTGCACACAAAGATTCTCCTCAATGCGCAAGTGACTCCCAAGTTGAACCAATGACAGTTCCTCATCTTGATGTTTTAAAGAACGTTTAAAATCCTTCCAAGAGGGTGGAAGATTGTCAATTATGCTCGATATGGCATAAGACTCATCAACACCTATCTTGTGGAGTTTAAATTGACCAAGAACACGAAGGAGTTCATTGTATTATTCCATAACCGGCCTTGAGTCAACCATTTTATAATTATTAAAATCACTCACCAAGAACTTCTTACTAGAAGCATCCTCGGCGATGTATTTTGACTCAAGAGAATTCCATAATTCCTTCGCACTCTCAACATTTTGGTAAATATCAAATAACGCATCGGACATACCATTAAGAATGTGGCCTCTACATATGTAGTCATCGTTCTCCCACTTGTTACGCCTCCTAGTTTGTTCCAAGGTTTCGTCATCCATCACTTCCGGCATCGGAGTGCTCAACACGTACACAACCTTCAAAGTGGTGAGGAGGAAGTGCATCTTCTTTTCACATCTACAGAAATCGTTCCCTTGAAACTTGTCCAATTTGTTGCACTTGGATGTCATCTCTTCCACGGAACTCATGATTATCACAAAGAAAATATCAATTTGATTGTTGGGGAAATATCACGTAGGGGGTGATAATCGAGTACTTGGATTGCTTAAAGATCGTGTAAGTTCACTTTCTGAATTGATATTTCTACACTATGCCTGGGTTACAAGAAATTCAATCTAGGATAATCCTTAAGGACACTCTAGAACTTAGGCACAAGAACTAGAGCCAAACTAGTCGAGTATATGGATTGTTATCTTTAACTTGAATGCCAAAAGTGATCAAGATATGTTGTATATCTCTCCTC